CTGCTGAAGATAGCAAATCTGTTGTTCGTACCATATTCCGTCAGGACTTGTTGGCCAGTATGTTAGCTCATGTTCTTTCCATGCCCCAAGTTGTGTCAGAAACAAAACAATAGGAAAATGGATTAGTTGTTTGTTTCAGATGCTTTGGGGGAGGAGGAAACCTTGGCAATAAACATACATCTTACTTGCATTTTCAGGAATGCATCTGTACCTGTGAATCTCCAGTGTATTACCTAATTAATGGGGGAAAGCAAAGTTTAAAAAAATAATCCACTGTCAACAAAAGATGGGAAAGGATAAGAAATGTATCTGAGCAGCAAGCTCATATTTGCTGCTTAATCTTGACCTGTAGAGCTGAACCAGCTTCCAGTCATGTGTTTCTGTTGGTCGTGTAGTGTTGGCTTCTGGGAGAAAGTGGAAGAGCATGAAGGAGGAAAGATGATGAAGAAACCGTATCAGAGCACCAGGGAGAGATACGGAACTTGTCTGTGAGCTATTTAATGTGTGGGGTGAAAAAATCCTTTGGCAGCACATGTTACAAACTCAAGAATCTTAAAACTGATTCAGAGTTGGCAAGCAATAAACGTGGTGATTAAATGTAACTGAGCTAGTGAAATCAAAGGGATAGCCACTTACTTAACACCTAGTTAATACTTAATATTGCATGTTAACAATGCTTAATATTTTGGGCCCTGAGCCAGCAAAGTACTTAAGCATGTGTTAACCTTTATGCCCATGAGTAGATTCCTGGGTGAAAGCCCCAATGAAGTTAATGGGAAAACTCCATTGATTTTTTTTTCCCCCCAATGGAACTACTCATGTATGTGTGTAAGTGTTTGCAAAATGGAGGTCTTAGATTGTAAGTTCTTAGTAAAATAAAGAAAGATGTGTCCCTGACCCAGACTTCCCAATAAAAGGGAGTCCTGATCCTGAATAGCCTCAGGGTGCTACTGTAATCCAGATATTTAATATTAAATGCATGTGCGATAGGCTTCCCTTCTCTTACTGACCTGTCTTTCAGTGCTCACTATTGGTGGACGATGCAGATTTCTTCCAGCGAAGACCGTAATCGCCATATCTTCACCAGCATCTCATTAGCCTTGACTTGGGTTTTGGATCTCTCCATAGCTGGGAGTTGCTTTTTTCCCCTCTATGGCAGTTCAAGTATGGAAGGATTTCCTGAGTAGATGCTTATAGTTATGCCAGACTTGGGGGGGGAATGGGCTATTTTGTGATGCAGACATTACAGCTCGGCAATGAAAGCATTTGGGAGGACACGGTTTACAGAGAGGGATTGATCTCCAAAAGGTTGGTGACTGACATCTGGAAAGAGAACCATGAGCCTCGTCGGATGGTGTACATTTGCCTAGTTCTTGACTTCTGTGGCGCTACGGCCATTTACCCCAGCTGAGGATCTGGTCCAGTGTTCGTGTCTTTGTAGCTGAAATGGTTGTGCAGCTGCTGCTGCTCTAGATTTGCATTCCATCCTTGCCACCAAATGTATATGGATGAATTTTCAAAAAATTGCTGACCTAAGCGCTGCTAGCGGAGTTGCTGCTCGCTTTGTGCATGCAGTGGCATGTGTTTAGGCTCATTTATGCACCTGACCATTTCTGTGCGTATCTTTGTACATACAATTTAAGATCCTGTTTTTAAACCTACCCCTATAAAGTCAATGTAGCTCACGCAGCTAGCCCCAATCAGAAATATTCCATGTGGTGAGAAAACAGCTGCTATAGTGTTACAAGTTGCGTTGTAAATACCTGAATAGTTAACTAGTTCGGGTTTTTATTCTCCCCTCTGAGGCCCAAACTTTGCCCCCTATCTTCACATGATTTGCAGTGGCCTCAATCATTTCCCCCATCGAGGGAGTAATTCACCCTTGTGTTGAGGCCACAACAAGGTGTATGCACCATTTAAGCCCCACTTCTGACCTCAGAATAGAGCTTAAGTGGTGCCAGGGCTTAAGTGGTGATGGCGGTCTCTGCACAGGGGTCCATTTCATCCCTCAGAGGGTAGCATGTAGCTCTTAATTGGACAATGTTCTAAAGCGCATTGCTTCATTTGTGCTCTACCCAGCAACTTAGAATCAGAGAAATAAACAAACCTTGGAACGCCAAGTGTTTTTATTCCTGGCCTCTTAAAGAAAATGCCTCGAGGAGGGAATTTTTGCAGAGAAGCTGGCTGAGCAGAATTCTCCCCTAATAGACATGCACTCTGCGTGAGCAGAGAGGAGTGGAGCTGCATATCCGATGTGTTGTCTTTACTGCCCCGAGCGATTTATAATGCTGCTGTGTGTCGGAACCGCACAACACCTCCGTGCCCATAATGCATGTTTGGCAGCTCAGAGACCTCCTTACGCAGAGCTGCTGCTCATGTGAACACGGAGGGCTGTCATCTGTAATGCATTCCCAGCTTGTGCGTTTAGACATGGCGCCTGCTCCGTCCTGTCACAGTGGGATGCTTTTGCTGTCAGTTGCTAGAATCAAACTTTCCTGGGCCAGGTGTTGGGGCATTCTCAACGAGTCATCCAAACGTGTAGAACTTGCTCCTTTTGGTGGTCCCTGCCAGTGTCCACTGGTCTTCAGGTATATTGCAAAGCTAACCTGCTTACCCTTGGCTCTTTGGTTCTCTGTAATCTCAGAGTTGCCCACTTGGAGAGTGACTCATATTTGTTGATTTGAAATTGAATGTGAATTGCGCAGGTGCCATGGCAACAGGTGCCATATAAATCATGTAAGATCATAAAACACCATCTGTAAATTATCACAGGGGGAGGAAGTTTAATACACAGCGAATTCTCTGCACTTTGCTGTAACAGAATGTATGTTAATGTTAGAATAATTGCTGCACTTACGCTCATCTGAGGATCTCCAAGCCCTTTAATCCACAGTGAAGCCTCATAGCCTAGTGAAGCAGACAGTATTATGCCATTTTCCTGATGCTGAGAGATGAAGTGGCTTGCTTACAGTCACACAGCAAATCAGCAGGGAAGTTGGAATTAAAAACTAGGAGTCCTGATTTCCCGCTCCCTGTTTTTGTTGCTAAATTCTAAAAATACCAGGGCAGTCAGAATTACATCCTGAAAAGGGGATGGATGGATATTCTGTGTGTGTGTGTAGTGTGTGAGAGAGAGAGAGAGAGAAATAAAAAATTACCTGAGTCTAAAATGAGCACATTGGTGTCAGATGCACCTACAGCTCACCTGTGTTAGTTAGGGTCTAATCCAACTGCAATAAACTTCAGTGGAAGTTGGATTGGGGCCTTATTGAGCATGAAATAGTGCAAACCACAGAAGTTATATAGAGGAAGAGAAGAAAAATAAATTCCCAGGCTGGGAAGAATTTAAATATTTATAGTTAGAGAGCCAATACAAAAAAAGGACGAGATTTCGCCCCCACCCCACACACTTGTCTTCTCTACCTGCCCACCCACCCCTCTCCTGTTTTATAAATTAAGCCCTGAACAATTGTTATACATGGGGAAAGTTTCCTCTTCTAAAAACCTGAGTTCTACATTGACCATTAGTATTTTACTATTAAGAAGCTTCTTAATCTCAAACTGACTTTGGGTTTTTCACTAGCCCTACAAAGCTTGTAGTTAATGCTTTTCTATTTTCCGGATGGGTTAAAATGTAACCTGCTACCCAATGTTACAGAATACTTCAGGGCCCAATCCGACAAAGTGCTCAACTCCCATTGACTCCAATGATCAGCCCCTGAGGGGATCAAGCCTTAGTCTGGTGGAAGTTTATGGATATAAAACTTACCTTTGCAAGTCTCCATCTAAATATTCAGATTCTTCACCTCTGAGAGAGGCAGAGGAGATGTTTTAAAACTAGAATTCAGAGTACAAGACATGACCCTGAAACCAGCAACCCTGCAGTGGACAGGTGAAGGAAGGAGTGGGGGGATAGAGTAGGTTCATAGGTTTATTCCATTTCTAATTTCTGTGGTTCTGTGAATTGCAGAAAGATAGGGGGATTGAAAGGTGGGCAGAGGGGGAGTGATGCTGTTGCTACGCTAAAGGCTTTATCAATGCTAAAGAATCATTTTAATAGATTTGGGAATCTGTTGCCTGTAACATGACAGCAATTGACAAACTGGAAGGTCTAACCTGGAAAGCTGAGTGGTGCGTTCTAAGGTTATAATCAAAACTGCCTCATTTTTGTGTCCGCTTTGCTGCAGTCATCCTGGCTGTTCTAAAATTATCTGCAGAATGCAGAGGCACCTACTGATTCATGCATTAAAATGTCAGTAGGCAATCCGTCTGTCATGCACCCACCACCGTGGTGTCTGTTGTTCAATCTGTGGTAGCACATAAAGGCCCCAACTAAGGGCTGGGGTCTCGTTGTGCTTAATAGTGTACTGAGCTTCTGATCCCTTGCATTGCCTCTCTTTTTGGATTCTCTTGGTGCAAAATATGTAGCAGCTGAGCAAAGCTAAAACTCAGCTCAGCTTGTTCTTACAGCTTTAATTCCAGGAAGGCTGTAAATGAATTAAGCCACACAAGGAAATCTACCTGGCAGAGCGCCGTAAGCCGGCTTTCTATAGCAATATACTTTTAAATGCAGGATTACTCTGATCGCAATCCCCACCTTTATGAAAGGTATTGCAGGACACCTGAGAGGGAAGCCCAGATCCTCAGCTGGTGGTGTAAATCAGCACCGCTCCACAGACGACGTGGATTTACACCCACTGAGGTTCTACCCTGGAGATGCTGAGAATTTGAGCCCAGTGCAAAAACTGGGTGCGAAAGCTTGCAAGAGGAAGTGGCTGGGCTCCTCTCTGTGTGAACTAAGAGTAGGCAGGAAAGGGGGTGGGGGGAGGGAGGTGATGTGTTCTTACAGCCAGCTCCGCTGTGCTTGCAGGCAGGAGATTAAACCACAGATGGTGAGTGAGGCTGAGTGAAGAGAGAAGAAACTCACTCAGGTCTGATCCCTCAGTATTCTCCGGCAGCCCTTGCTAAGGGAGTTGGTTGGGTGAGGAAAGGGAAGGGTAACCCAGCAAGGCTGTTTTAACAGAGAAATCATGGAGTTAAATGCTGGATAACAAGCAGAAGGAGCTGTTGCAGATAAGGACAAGCGAAGCCGAGGATGTGAAATCGTGTCTGCTGCTGAATGTACAGGAACTGGATTGGGAAATCCCACTGCTGCTGCAGTGAACAGGAATCAGATGGTTACCTGCCCCTCCAGCTCCTTGGTGAGCCCCAAACGTTCTGAGGGTCTCAAATCCACTGTTGGTAGATGACCTTTGGCAGCGCAGCATGAGCAGCGGGTACAGTAGTCTGGATGAAGAGCTCGAGGATTTTTTTTTCACAGCCAAGACCACCTTCTTCAAGAGTGCACAGAGCAAAGCCCCTGGCAAGGTAATAGCTTTAAAACTATCTAAGGGGCCATGTTGGGTGTAGGCTGGAGCATTCTCCCTAGCAAGGTGCAAACAAAAAAGTCTGTGTGCGCATGCATGTCTATCTGCAGGTGCCAGGTTGTCAAAATTAGCTTGCCGTCATAGTCAGGGTCACAGTCTGCTCTCAGAATGAAGGGGGCATTTACTTACATCTCTCGCTATCTGGTAAAGTAGATGGAATGTCTTTGCTCGGTTGCAATGGTTCTCACCTTTGTCTATTCTGCCACTCCCTTTTCCATGGCAGGATATGCACCCCCACCCTCCAAAAGATCCCCTTCCCAGTCATCCAGGATCTGGCTGAAACCCTTTGCCCCCCGGGGCGTCAGAAACCTCAGGCTGAGAATGCCTGTGCTGTCACATGCAACATAGAACATTGCAGATCATTTAGATTCTGAGAGGCATGTTACGGTGACAACAGGTTTTCTAAAGTTAATGGGCTAAATTCATCTCTGGTCTAATTCTATTGACCTCATTGGAATTACTTAAATGGACAAAGTTAATCCCTGGTGTATGTTTAAAAAGAGTGTTTGATTGTGTATACCATTTTATCCTGACTTCAAAACTAGTATCTGTTAGTAACACCGACAGGACATTGCCTATATTAATATACACATTTAAAATCAACCCTCTGAGAATCTGTAATCGCCAACCAGCACAAGGTGTAGAAGAGAGGAAAAAGCTGTCACAGAAGTAGAAGTGTTACACAGGAAAAAGAACCCTAAAATGTTCACAGCTCACGTTACGGAGGAAGCATGCGCTGGGTCACCATTTTCCTCCACTGCTGCAAAAAGTTTGATCTTGGCTGTGCTGTCAGCCTGACGGAGGAAAGCACCATGTCACTGTAGCAGTTCTTCTTTTTCACTTAAGAAAAAAATACTTTAAATGATCAGTGGTGAAATTCCACTGTAGGTTGCTACCATATTTGCACGTCTGAAACTGCAACGTTATACTCCTCAGCAGGTGCTTTTGGTCTCATCTTTCTCTGTGGTGCGCAAAAAAAAAAAAAAAGGCGGGGCAGTTCTGAGTTAATCTGAAAGTGTTTATTTTGCTTCGTCCAGTTGAGTGAATTGGTGTGTGCGACAGTCCATTTATTATCTGGTAGTTTTTAGGATCTCATCTTACTCATCTGAAACTTTTTAGAAATACTCCCTTGGGTTATAACGTGGGACATCCCCCATTAGTAATCTGTCGGGAGCTGACCACTAACAAACTTTTTTTTTTAGAAAATGTCATTGGATTATCCATTTGTGTAGAAGACCTAAATATCTTTGTATAATTTTATTTATATATATATAATATATATATATCCCTGTGTGCATTCAGTTCCTATTTAATACTTTCTTCTGTGGCAGGATATTGAAATGCTAATTTTGAAATAAGCCTGCTCTTTCAATCACTGCTTTATCCTGCCCTAATATGTGCCCATCACTGTGATATCTGGGCTCCATTCTAATGGATATTAACTGCACTGGTTTCTCCCCTCCATTGCTCTCTTCTTAACAGTCAAACATGGTGAAAGTTAAAGGAAGTTCAGGTCAAGTGATCTGGTATTACAGGTTTCTTGTACTGTGGGAAGGAAATGTTTCTTGTTTAAAACAGCATAGCGGTCCAAGCAAACCATATTGTATGATATATATTTTCTGGCTTTACAATAGTACAGTAGATGCAAGTCATCAAGCAGCTGATTGTTTTTTTTTTTCCTGGGGGAGAAATAGTTTAAGGCTCTTGATCATATATGGGTGGTAGGGGCTATTCAAAGTGTGCTATTGCTTTTGGCTTTCTTGTTTTGAAGGTGTGATTAATGGGAATTATACATGTACTGCAGAGAATTCTTAGACCCTCTAAGGCTGGAGCCGGTTCCTGGAGTTCTGAAGGAACAAGTCACTGAATAGTGGCAAAAAGTAGCTAGGAATAAATTTAGAGGGCTAATATGGCCAAAAAATGAATGATTTCCAATGGGTAGTTGGTACTTGCAAGAATCTGATCACTTGAGGAGCTTCCCATTGCCTCAGAAGTGTGTATGTGAGTGTGGGGGGAAGAGACGGAAGAAAGGGAATAGAGAACAGACTGTAAGGAACAATCCTGCACTGATAGTTATGTAGTAGCATGAACCTAATGAGTTTTTGTCTCCTCCCATCTCTGATGTAAATGTGAATCATTGAAACTAAATTCATCCTGGATCCAGATGACACACAAGCTGTTTGATAGGCACAGGCCGGTTGGTGTGGGTGGAATGCTTTGCCCAAGCATCCTTGGAGATTACAGAGGGAAACAGGTGCAGTCATTATTCAGCCTTGACACCAGTACAGGCATCGATGTGCAGAATGCTGGGACAGCAGCAGTATCGCCCCAGCAGGTGGGAACTACTGTACAGTACACACTCCTCCCAGGCCAGGCAAGGCAGATATTTGAGATGTTGGTTTAACTTGACAGTCTTATTTTTGCTACTGGTCTTCTGGAGGCCCTCAATCTGTCTTTACTCAATCAAAACACCCACTGAAGCCACTGGGAGTTTTCCTAAGACTTTAGGATTTGATCCATTTATCTGCTCTTCTCATTCACTCTCCAAGTGTTGTATAGTCTGAGAAAAGCAATTTAACAATGAGATTCTGTCTCCGCCGTCAAACTGGAACCTCTGTGGCTTTGTTTGTTAGTCTCCAGGCCCCTCTCTTGGTCATTGTTTGTGAATGAAGCAGAGACTTTTTATTGGTGTTCCAGAACCAAACACATTTAGGATCCAGAGACGCTCTTCTTTTGATTATGAGATGCCAGGGTTATGAAACGAAGCCTGCTACAGCGATTGATTGCTCTAATAACAAGTAGTGTGAGTGATGCTGGGCCAAAGCATGTATGTATTTGGCTGTCTGAAATCCCTCAGAACTGGGCAGGTATAGCATCAAATTAGGGTAATTCCCCCTTCTACTTGTACCTCCTTCTGGAACCATTTTGAAAAGTTAAATGTGGAATGTTTCCACAACCGCAGTCTGTAAAACACCTCTATATGGTAACAATTTTGTGTTTTCAGCCACATAACCCATCGTCTGCCCATGGTTGTGTGCAGTCAACATGTTCTGAATCCAAGATTTAATTAATCTGCTGGGCACACTTCAGCCCAGCCTGTCCCACTCTAGATATTCAGGAAGGATGCCCAAATCAGAGATGCAACCCTCTTCTGAGCACCACAGGCTTCCTAACTGGACTGGCCCCCCAGCACTGATGGGACTGCAGATAGAACCATCTTGTCAAACCTCAAATAGCTCTGCCATTTTCTGGCACATGCTTTTCCGTGTTCTGTTTCGTTCCCATCCAGCTGATTTGTTCGAGCTGGTTTAATCAGCCTGTTCAAGCCAGCTCTTTAAATGGTTAACCATTTAAAGAATGCCCCTGCATAGGAGTGTAGCACGCTTTCATATGCTAAGGGCTGGTCTACATGGCGAGGATGTCAGAGCGCACTATGGAACTTTCAGTGTTCAGGAGGAGGGTCCACACAGCGAGTTTGCCAGCTCCAGGGCAAGCTAGAGCGCGGTAGATTCACACCATGGCATGCTGCATAGTAACTTGCCATGTAGACAAGCTCTAGGATCTTAAAGCATTTTACTAACCTTTTGTAACTTTTCACAATGGGTAGATAAGTGGTATCCCTATTTTACAACTGAAACACGGAATTTGAGTTGCTCTGATATCTTGGGTAGGTCAGAGGTAAAGCGAGGCATAGGACCTTGGAGCCCTGGTTCTCATTATCCTCCTTTAAAGCTTAGAGAACTCTGAGGTGGGATTCTTCAGAGGAGGTTAAGAGAATTTATTTGCCCAGCCACCACTGAAATTCAGTGGGAATTGGATGTTTAATTCCCTTAAAATCTCAGCCTAAATGACTATGGCATAGTGTAAAATTAGAGAAGGTTGCCTTCTACCAAAGTGCTAGACAGCTGAAATAGTTAAGGAGAGTTGCAAGGCCACATAGACCTACAGAAAGTGAAACAAATTGTGAGACACAGAGAAAAATGCAGCCATTAGAGTGGCTAATTCCCATGGTTTGAAAAGGTGATTTAAAAAAAAAAAATCTAGATTAGGCTGGAAATCTTGCCTCTTTAGTAACTTCATCATTCTTAAATTTTTTTCTAGCATCATAAGAGATACAACCTTGGAAACATCATTGTTCAAAGCAAACATTTGGGTCTTCCTTGTAGCATTTTCCCCTGCAGCTCTGCTGCTCTGTACTATCCTAATTCACCATCTGACTGGTTCCGTGAGCTTCTGTATAAAGAACAATATGATGTACTTAAAGGGCTTAATCAAATTGCTTGTTGGCATCCAGCAGTAACAGACATGGGGACATTGTGTTTATAAAGAGAAAAGGGCAAATTACTATCTAGGATCTAAAATGTGCATTTCCACATTATGATGCATATCTGTTGTTCTCCCGTCATTGTTGTTTGACCAGAATTCTGTGTATCTGCAGTAAGTAACTTGCTTCTTAAAATCAATCTCACTTTTCTCTTCCCTTTTGTACACATCCATTTCAAGCAATCTGGCCTTTCTGTAAACGCTTTGGAAGATCTTTAGGCTTCTTATGGCTAACTGTCCCACCCACTGATTTCCCTTTTATTCCCTGTCGCTTTCTTGCAGGTCTCTTCCACCTTGTTCTGCCATTATCGATCTATGGGCAGAATGGAGACCCCCTGCTCAAATACAGGGGTAGATTAAGACTATAGTATTCAGGCTCTGATTAATCAAAATAATGTCCCTACCCATATGACCCTTCAAAATCTTCAGCTCTCCTGTATGTGCCGATCAAGTTGAATTCACAGGGCTGTCACCCAACCTACTTCACTTTGGGGTTGTATCAGGACCTGTGACCTCAAGGCCTTAATTCAGGGGCCTCTGAGCTTCCTCACCACCTCCTTGATTTGGACGCTGGTCTGTAGCACTTAGCTCTGCCTCTGTCCAAATGTCTCCTCATTG